TATATACATACATACCATACATATATACATACACACATACATACATACATACATACATACATACACACACATACATACATACATACACACACTTGAGATCAGTCAACACTGTTTGTTCAAGATCTGAGCTCTCAAACTACAGACATGTCCAGACTTTTGCTCACAGAATCAATTAGGAGTTCACTTTAAGTGGCAAACAAATTCTTAGTGTACACAAGAGTCGGCCCAAACTTCTGTCTGATTTGTTGTGATCAGTATTTCTAAAGTCCTGTGTAAGGCCCTGTCTGCAGCTGTCTGGGATCAGTTGGTGCAGTAGGTGGAGCCGCAAATGCTAGACATTCAGAGTTTGACTATTTAACAGGTCATAAACTGTTTATGTAAAACAAGGGAGTCCACACAGACAATTAAAATGTTTAAAGCAAAACTACATTTAATTGTCCAATATTCACACTGAACAAAGTATACAAGATATATATGTACATCAATGTTGTCAGTAGTGTAGTGAGTGTGTCCGTATGTGTGTGTGGTTATGGATAAAGTGTTGTGTATGGAGAAAGTTAAAGGATTAATCAAGCCAAAGACAGCAACAAACCCAGGACCTGCTGGTTGGAAGGAGAGAGAGATAACTAACTGATCAACCCCCTTTAAAGCCTTGTAATCAGGGGGAAATCAGGTGTAGCTCATCTTATAGCCACACCCCTGCCACTCTATCTCATGAAAGGAAACAAAGGAAAAATTACACAGAACCACCAGAGTGGGAGGGTGTTTTTACAGACATAATTAGCCCTTTGAAAAGAAAAATAATGCCTGCAAAACACACTGCCCCCAAATAACCAACGCAAAGGCCTCTCCACCTGTGGATCTTCCTGCGTACCTCTGGATGAGAACGGCGGTGCTTTGCTTGAGTTACTGCGCAAGCTAGAAACAACTGTACCTCAGGTTCAGAAGCTGTTATTTCCCCATCTGACACTAAAGGAAACGGCTCAGGAACCTCAGTGACCACATTAGGTAGATGAATCTGAGTGACCACATTAGGTAGAGGAACCTGAGTGACCACATTAGTAGGAGGAACTTGGGTGAATAAACTAGCTTCAGGAATGTCTGCCCAAACTCTATTTCCCGCCAAGTCATTTCCAAGAACTATATCCATCCTATTCACAGGGAATGCTGGGCAACTGCCACCTCCCCAGTGACCAACCCACAGACTAGGTTTATTTTATGCAGTGGTACAGGGATAAGAGTCATACCCATACCCAGCATCGAAACGAAATCTCCAGTGTCTGAATCTGAGGAGAAAGGAAGAATCGACTCGCAAACAAAGGTATGTTCCGCCCGGGTCTCTCAAAATTTTAACTGCCAATTTGTTGTTTCCAGACATGGACACATGACCATCTGAAATAAATGCTGAATAGTCCCAGTGGACAAACAGTGGACAAACACACACAGGCTCAAACACACACACACACACAATATGGCAAATGTTTAGATGTTTAATCATCAGTTTGTCAGTGTTTTATTATTATTGGTGACACCAGGATTGTAAAATGTACAATATCCCAGAAGAATGTCTCTGAATGTTCTGAGGCTGATTTAAATTCCTGCAGATGGCACTCTTCTTTTCTTTGATTGATATGATTTTATCTCTTCAAAGGCAGAGGCATTACATCCTAAAGTTTGTTTTTAATTCGTAATAATAATACATACATAATAAGACTCGTTGAAATGTAAGCACATGATCACTATATATTTGTCCATTGTTCCTAATAACCTTACACTGCCTGCCGCACACATAAATCAGTTTTTTTGATTTTTATAGTAAACAACTCTGTAATATGAAACTTGTGCTAAAGAGAAGGGGAATCCAACATTTTAGTTTTTACGGCCTACTATTTGACTTTTAATGTTTGGGAACATGCACTATTACAGAACAATATCAGCTGACAAGAAAAGGGCTTTGAAGCAGTGGTTCAACATTTTGGGAAATATACTTATTTGCTTTCTTGCAGATAGTTGAGACACTTGAGAACACTCTCAATAGGCTACAGCCAGCAGCAGCTCAACTAAGCTACCAGCATCTCTTAAGTCCACTAAATTATCTTTTTAGCCCGCGACAACCAGTTGCAGTTTTATGGAGGATCGTGTGTCGGATGATTTCTTGACTGGAGCAGTAACTTCCTGAATATCGTCGTCAGTGTAGGTTTGTCAGGCAGCTAGCAGAAACTCGACTGCACTGTGTGTACTGTGTATATCTGCTGTTTATCTACAGGCTTCTTTGCATGTTTTTTCTACCCCCTAGTGACCCTGAATTGATTAATGCAGCTTTAATGATTAAAATTATTAGTTGTTTTCACACAATTCTCCTTGTTACCATTACTAGTAAATGATGCTACTGGGAATTGAAGGCATCATCGGGGCATATCCTTTGAACTCTTGGGCAAAAGCCAGTTTTTTTTTTTAGAGGGCTAGGTAATATCAGCAGTCACTGAGGTCTCTGGGTTGTGAAACTCTTGTGAGCACACCACAGTGAAGCATGTGGTGGTTTTTCACATTGTGCTGGTTTTACATGTGCTTTGCACTCTAGAGTGTGTTATAATAATGTTCCTTAATAAAATAATATTGTTATTGTTATTACGTTACACTGCACTACACACACAGATAAGCTACAGTAAAGTCTAGAAATGTCAGTTATTTAGCGGCTTTATTACATTTGCTTATTTTTAATACATTTCATGTTTTTTTTGTGATCAACACAGAAAGTTGGCTAATAAGAGAGGATTGTAAACATTACTTACTCTGTAGACTTAATCTTGATTTTAAATTCCTGATATTAGGCTAAATAAAATCACTAAAATACTCAGTTTAAAGTGTTTTCAACCTTTTTATGCAGTAGCAATGTGTAGACATGTGTAGGCTTAGTTTTCAGATTATATACTGTTACTTTTTTTTAAGACAGATCCTACTGAAGGAGAACAAAAAATTGTCTGCACAGTGAAAAAATAATTCAATAATTCTTAAGACATTTTCAGACGTTCTCCTTGGGAACTTATAATGCTACTGGACCAGTTGATAAGAATTTGCTGGCGTAAGGGATTGCGTTTCTGGAATGCTTTTTCGCAAGTCACGTCGCCCCACGACATGAAGGCAACCAATGGTCTCCGAGGCACGTAGACCCAGTGCTATAAAGCTGAGTCGTCTTCATTTATGAGCAAACTGCGAGGTGGATCCTGAGCTGCCGTTTGATTTCACTGACACACTCACTATTACATTGGACAATGCTGCGAGTCAGGTGTCTGAGAGGAGGTAGCAGGGGGGCCGAGGCTGCCCATCTGATCGGAGCCATGGTTGGTATTATGGTGGTTTCATGTCTTTTCTTTTTTCCAAAAATGTTTTAGAAAAAGTTTTTTTTTTTTGTTAAAAGAGAAAGCACATGTGAGTCAACGCGAATAAAGAAAATATGTTCGACATTTTCTTCACCAGACTACATCTGAGCTGCTTCTTTCACTTAAATTCATCAGTTTGATTGATTGATTCATTCATTGTTTCAGCAATGCATTTTTTAGTTAAAATACAAAAACCTTGAAAATCAAATACAATCTAATCGACTTTTGGACTGAAAACACTGACTATGCCAAACAGACCTGAGTCAGAGGATTCATTTGTTTTTAATTGCTGAAAAGAGCTTTTTTTCCCCCCCCCTTTGGTTCCTGAGTGACAGTGGACAGCTGTTTGGCATAGATGCGCTCCCAAACTCAGTAACACTTGAGCTGCTCCTGAGCCAGCAGAGACCACACTATCTGTGGAGATAACGCTTCTTAATAACACGTGTACTTCGGCACCAAACAAACTGAAGGCATTTTCTCATCGATATCTTCGATCTTATGTATTCTTTAATCAGCCAACAGCGTTTTATTGTATTTGTAGAAGGCTTTTTTGATTGCGAGCTGCCAGCAAAGTCATGTATTTGACTAACACTTCTAATTTCACTTAATTTCTGGCTCTATAGTAAAAAATAATAATAAACAAGCATACAGCAATGGTAATTACACTCAGCTACTTTTGTTTACAACTGATTGTATTAATATGTATACACTGCATTTTTCTGAAAAAGGTTTATTAAATCTAAAGAATTGGCATATTTTCATACAAAAGCCTTTTCTGTAAGTATCTGTAATGTCACTTCCACTGCACAAAACTGAAGGACATTTTTGTGCTGCAGAATATGTAATTGTATATGGTTTTTCTTTGTTTTCCCCTGCTCAGCTTGGCCGGGCGGTGACTGGATGGGTGCAGAGGGCCTCCCAGAGCACATCAAGTGCAGCTGCTGCACAGCCGCAGCGTGCAGTTGACGAGGAACATGTTACTGAGCCCATGCAGGAGGAATGTCCTGTCTGCAGCTACAATGAATGGGACCCTCTGGAGGAGGTGATCGTGGGCCGTGCTGAAAACGCCCATGTGCCTCCCTTCAGTGTGGAAGTTAAAGTAAGCTATAATGTCAAGATGACATCTGTGCAGAACGTAACGTGCATATGTGGGCCACTGTGTATCCAAACTCTAATATGACACCTAAATTGAATTGTGAAAGAGTGAGATTAACTCCATGTTGTCATATCAACCTCTCAACAGGCTAACACATATGATAAGTATTGGCCCTTCTACAGTAAGTATGGGGGCCAGTCTTTTCCTGAGGACCACTTGAAGAAAGCTGTTGCCGAGATTGAAGAAATGTGCAATATTCTGCGTCAGGAGGGCGTCGTTGTGAGGAGGCCAGAACCCCTCGACTGGTCCATGGAATACAAAACTCCAGACTTCACATCATCAGGTAAAAAAATAGACAAGGCAGAGATATATAACTCAAAGCCAGTAAGACACAAGCCACACATGGTGTACTTACACACATACAAGTACTGTAGTTACTTGTACTTAACTTGAGTATTTCCATTTTATGCTACTGCTACTGCTACTCTACTGCATTGATTTCACTACTATAGTTACATACAGATTCATCTTCTGCACACAAAACATTTCCATTTATGAAATGTGATTAATTTCATTGATTAGTATGCAGAAGTATATATAGCTGTTACAATTAGCTCATTCTCCCCTCAACCAGCTACAACATTAAAGTATTGTTTACTTGTTATTGATTAATAATATTGGCCCAGTCATGATATAAGATATTAAAGCAAATTAATTTTTCTTATAATACTTCTACTTGTAACTGAATATTGTGTAATGCTACTTTTACTTAAGTGAATGATCCGACTGCTTCTTCCACCGCTGGTCTCACATTTATCTGTGTATGTTAACACGTATGTTAGCACATCATGTTGTATTTCATAAAATATTCTATGTAAGCTAACTGTGTGTTGTTGAATCTGTTGTAGGCATGTACGCTGCCATGCCCAGAGACATCCTTATGGTTGTGGGAAATGAGATTATTGAGGCTCCCATGGCCTGGAGGGCTCGTTTCTTTGAGTACCGAGCCTACAGACCTTTAATCAAGGAGTACTTCAGAAAAGGTGCTAAATGGACCACTGCTCCTAAACCCACTATGGCCAATGATCTGTACGATCAGGTGAGTCTTCATCTTGTAAGATTAATTTAAGATGCCATATGACAGCACCTGTTGAATGTTTGTGGGCTGTGTAGAACTTGTGTTTTTTGAAGGGTTGGGAGTGCACAAAGTTAAACCTGCATTTAAACGCATTCTTTAGGTCCTTCATATCACCTCTGAACTCTTTGCCCCGGGCTATTTATTGCACTGTACGTGGCAAGAGACTGTAAACTACTGCTTAATTGCTACAGTGTAAATCATTATTGCCTGCTGTCATTCAGAACTACCCCATGCGCACTGTGGAGGACAGACACAAGCTGGCCGCCCAGGGGAAGTTTGTGACCACAGAGCACGAGCCCTGCTTTGATGCTGCTGATTTCATCCGAGCTGGGAGGGATCTGTTTGTTCAGAGGAGTCAGGTATGAAGGCTTTTAAAATTATCAGCAAGTCTGCTGTGCGATAGGGTGACAAGATGAAGCAACATTTTGCCAATGTTAAACAGTAGATAACACATAGAGGTCTCTGTCACCGATTTACTATTTATTCACTCAAATCTAATACAGGTCCACAAAAGAATGCTGTACTTGAATCTGAATATACAATATTGGTAACGCCCTCAAACCACCTCTCTTATTGTTTTTTTGCAGGTTACAAATTACATGGGAATTGAGTGGATGCGTCGTCATCTGGCCCCAGACTACAAGGTCCACATAATCTCATTCAAGGACCCTAACCCCATGCACATTGATGCCACTTTTAACATAATTGGGCCAGGACTGGTGCTGTCAAACCCTGATCGTCCATGTAACCAGGTACTGTAAGACAGGAAAGGCTACTTTTCATTTTTCATAGTGTCCTGTGCTGCCCTCTTGTGGACTGATACTTAGTTTGATACATAACTCTTTGTCATTTATCTCAGGTCGACATGTTCAAGAAGGCCGGCTGGACAATTGTGAAACCTCCAACACCTCTGATCCCTGATGGTGGGTACTTTAAACTAAAATGTATCTTCTCTTACTCAAGCAAAACATTAGAATTTTTTGGTGGAAAAAATGACACTCTCTCCATTTCTATGAAGACCACCCACTGTGGATGTCCTCCAAATGGCTGTCCATGAATGTCCTGATGCTGGATGAAAAGCGTGTTATGGTTGACGCCAATGAAAGCACCATTCACAAAATGTTTGAAAGTCTTGGTGAGTTATTCCAGTTAATTTTGGCATTATTTTACATTCTTTAAGATTAATTTCCACAGTTCTTTTGATCTTACAGTTCATCGATAATAAGGCCTCTGTGTTGTGTAATGATACGTAAATGTGTTTTTTGTTCCAGGTATCAAGACCATAAAGGTGAGCATTCGCCATGCCAATTCCTTGGGTGGTGGCTTCCACTGCTGGACAACCGATGTCCGCCGCCGTGGTACCCTGCAGTCCTATTTCCACTAGCCTTGCCAGAAATAGGCAGTTTTTATTGAGCTTTGAAGATGAAAGCCTCAATCCTAAATCTTAATACCACTTTAATTGTTATTGTCAGTGAATCACGTACGTACACACAGACTAATTAAGGGTGGAGCTTTGTGATACAAAAATCTACTGGTGGCAAATTTCTATCTCAAAAACTATACACTGAAATTTGGGTGTTTGGGTGCTGCAGTTCAAAGTCAAATCTCTGAGCATTTTACTCTCCTAACCTGGATGAAACAAACTGATAATGGGGCAATCTTATCATGACGGTTGGCACCAAACTCCTTTTCTGGATTGGGTCTTAATGTCCTAAATGAACATGTATGAATTGTTTTGATTTGACATTGCTGTGCATCAGAGTGCCTTTGCAAACAGCTTTGTTCAGATATATATGTATATGCTCAATAGCAACAAATGAACATCACTTTACTTCAATTAGTAATCTCAATATTAACTGCATTTCTGGCCTGGCTATTGTGAAGCTGAATTGTTTATGACTTCTACATCTAAAAGTCGTAACTTCGAGGACAAGGTACAATTTGGTATGTAAAACAAGGGCACAGGAGGAGGAAAAAAAAGCCTCCTCATTAAAAAGTCAGAAACCGTAATTCTATTTCCAAAGTATTTTTATATTTAAAGAAATGTATAAAAGTTTTTATGTAGGTCATTAAACAATATTAATTTCTTGCTGGTATATTATTTTGTAAAGATTTTAATTAATTGAGAAGACAAAGGTTTATAAATATTTTTCATACTCTTCATTGGATTTCCCGACAAATAGATGTTTTTATATATTTACTTAAAAAGTATGCGGTCCATATCAGATATTGTATACCTTTTGCCTCTGCTGTTTTCTCCTATTGCAAATCTGGGCCAGTTACATGCTACTAGTTGTTCTCACTGCTTGGCTGCTTTTGTGTGGAAAGCAAAAAATGCCTAAAGAATGAAAGGTGTTTTGTTGTGAAGATTTATGTTTTATAATTCTTTTGCTGCCTTAACAGTTGGATATAAGATGTTTACCTCTTCAAGTCTATCTTGATATTGCTTTTGAAACAATGAACTCAAAGGACGTTATGGCTCAACAGAGGAATGCAAGTGATGTTTTGTATTAAGCAACATTTTTAAATGTAATTAAAAAGAGTTGTGTGTCATTATTGTGGTCGTGTATTTGTTTTTGATTGTATTGTTTGTTATATTTACTATGTTTGTGTTTGTTTATTGACCATTACCGTGTGGAGAAATATTACAGCATTACATAACCAAACTCTTAATCCATATCACCAGTGGTGTAAGAAGTACTGAGAGCTTTTAATTAAGTTAAAAATATAAGCTAATAATACTTATAACAATTAAAAATCCTGCAATCAAAAGTAAAGTTATGTAAACACACTGGAGTATTATCAAAATGTACTTCTTACTTGTGTACTTATATAGGCTCCAGTTAAGTAGTTGAAACTTTTAATCTGAAAAGTAACTATAGCTACCAAATACTTGAGTATTCCCATCTGAAATGTCAAGTAGAAGTACATCAAAATTGTACTGAAGTACAGTAGAGGAGTGAATATACGTCCACCATTGAATATCACATATTTATTTGAATAAAGTAGGCTATCATGGGTCACACTAACCTGTGAACCTGGGATCTGTTCACCTGGTTGATAAATGGCATCACAGTTTGCACTGAGCATGACACCACATTACTTAACACCTTTATGTCTGTAAACATTAACCAGGCTGATGACAGTGGGAGGAGTGTTGCATCATATATTATGTAAACCTATTGCAAATGCAAACAAAAATGGTGACTTTATTGTAAAGATTAAACTGCTATATTAATTAATTTATTTAGTTTAAATTAATCTGAGTAACTATTGCCTTATGGATATCTGAAAGAAGTAAAATCTTTGTGATACAGTACAAAAACATCTATTTAAATACGGCATAACTAAATAATTTATTCGCCTCCATCTTGTGGGGATAAAAAGTCAGTCAGGTGAAATGTGTAATGAACAAGGAGATGTTTAGTGACCAGTAAAAGTGGTGCTGTTACACCATTGACAGTTTTGTGTCTCTCATAAATAACCTCACAAGACAAATAATAATAAAGTTAACATTGACTGTATTTCTTTTAATTTCATTCTCTGGCACAGTCATTTATTGTGACTTATGCAGCTTATAGCAGATTGTTATTATATAGCATAGTGTAGCTACTTTATGAGAACTACATTTGAGTGTCTCAGTATGTTAGTGTGTTTGAAGTCTGCAAGACAATAGAGTATACAATAAAACAATAAATAATGTTCTGATCTATCGTCTGATACCAGTTAAATAAGAAATGCTAAAAAGGTTAAATAGTGACAGAAAAAAGGTTACTCAGTCCGCACACTGTTTAAATAAACTGTGAGAGAAGTAGTGCAACAACCTTTTGACGTCTGTTATCTGCTGCCATCTAGTGGTAAGAATTACACATTGTACTCTGAAGTTCATTCGACCAAAACTAAAAACAAAGTTTCCAGATGACACAAAACAATGTTTCTTTGTAATAAAATTGTAGGTTATAACTGTGAATTCAGCTGTATGCAATGGAGTTGTCTCTTAGTCCAGAAGCCCTTCCTCTCCATAACAAGTGGTGGACTTAAGTAAAAGTACCACTTTGTTACATATAAAAGTCTTGCATTGAAAATGTTTCTTAAACCTATTACAATGAGTCTTAAACTGGCTATGAAACAGTCTCAATTCAATACTGATGCCTCTATATGACCAACATAAGCAAACGAGACCAGCAGCGAGAAGACTGGCCAATTCTGTCTTAATAACTGCAACTAATGATTATTTCCATAATGGATTAATCTGTTGATTATTTTCTCTATTGATCAATTGATTGATATCTCAAAAATCTCCAAATAATTAATAGAAAAACATCCCATTTCATATATCTCTTTGTATGTGTTCTATGCAAAAATATTAATTTGAAAAGTAAGCAGGAAGTAAAGCTGTCAGATAAATGTAGTGCAGTATTTCCCTCTAAAATGTAGTGTCGTAGAAGTATAAAGTGGCATGAAAATAAAAGACTTAAGTCAAGTACAAGTACCTTAAATTTTGACATTCCTCCACTATTCATATCCCGTTGATGATTAAATCTAAAAACCTTCTTCACACTCTCTCTTGAATTTGATTCCATTTTTATTATTAGTCGTTATTTGATTTCTTTTCTCAGCATTGAATTTACACAATCTTTTTATTGTCTGGCATAAATATGCTGTAGCACTCCATGCTCGTCACACTAGATGAGAGCATCACTTTAAACTACAGCCATATACTCTCTCCTCTGAAGTGTGACCAAAGGTGAACAAGACCTTTAAAGACATTCAAGTAAACAGTTTTGTACATTTTAAGCGACAGAGTCTGAATTCACAATTTCCTCAATCTAATTAACCTTTTTCTGACCCCAGTGTGACAGCATATGACTTCAATGGGGCCAAAAGAGTTTGCCACCAGTAGACACATCCTGACTATGTGTGACTCTCTGACATTCGGCACAAGCACGCTGCCTTTAACTGCTTCACCTTTGTCACAATGTGGTTTGGATCAGGCACTAGAGGGTGAATACTATCAGGCTACAGCTGTGGCCTGTGGCTGCCTCCTGCACAGATAAATAACATTCAGAATCACACTCCAGACTGAAGGTGACCATGTGTCAGGACAGGTTCACTTGAAGCCAAGTCGCTTCTCTTCACAGCTGTTCAGTCGTACATCATTTTTCCCCCTGTTTCTATGCAGTCTTCTGCAGATGGATTGCTTGTTTGTACAGCTGCCTAATTGCACAATACTGCAGCTGCCTCAACAACTGTCCTCAAACAGGAAAATTGATTGGGAGCTGGTAATGATTGGACTTCGATGTCTGCAGGAAAACATCAGTCATCTTCTCGGATTCTCTGGACTAAGATGACTTTATAGTTTGAATTAGGTCCAGAACAGTCAGCAAGACAGGATCCACATGTTCAAATCTCTGTGTATGTGAATGTGCAGACATTTTTTTTGTCCATATAGGGGCCAATGTGGTAGTAATATAAGATATAAAAGACAAACTTCATTGATCCCATGCAGGGAAATTGAAGTGTTTCAGTATGAAAAGTGTAACAGATGCTTGATAAACTACTTTTAAAAAGTACTTTAAACATTATATACAGCTACTGAATAAAGGGGGTCATGAACTAAATAAATATAACAGTAACTTTAATGGTCATAAATGAAGTGGGGAGACAAAAAAGTTTACATATAAAGTTAAACACAACAATTTTGTCTTTTGTTTGTCTTGTGTCAGCAGATAATAGGTTCAGCAGCTCAACCCAGTTATTGCACTTGTAGCAGTACTTCTCTTATAATGCAAGACGGCAGTTCAGAGGTGTTCTGTAGGGGTTACAGGTTATTATTGGGGAAGGGGAAAAAACTAGCATTCCACTAATCCAAATCCACTATAGAACCTTGTACATTTGTCCAGTAGTGGCTTGCACAACGTTTTCATGAGGTTTAGCAAGTCCTTTCATCCAATGTACTAACTATAAATTCTGATGGACTGGGTAAACTTCTTAAATTTCTGCTGTAATCAACCAGAAGGTGGCTGGATGTTCTTATTGCACCTTTTCACTTGGCTGCAAGTTCTGTATTTACTCTAGCAATGACAGCTGATACCATATGTTTCAGTCAGCATTGGATATAGCCACTTCTAAATACCTTCTGATGCGCATCATTCAGTAGAGTTCTGCAAGCCTTTTTTAAGGTCAAAGACATTACATAGTTGTCCAGTTTTCCTGAGGGGATGGAGTAAAGAATAAGGAATAAGGAATACTTCACTCAAAATGAATGATCATGCAGTTGTCTCGCCCATCTGGGGTGTAAGTATTGATTGCAAAATTGGCACCTCTTCTGTGGGTAATGTTGATTTCATAATGATCTTTACTCATTAGTATTACTTAACAGACGTTAAGTAATACACTTTTTTCGGTAAAAAAAAGAGTAGTCTTAAATGTCACTGTTTATAACACAGGGATTTATCCTTTGCTGGATGGGGCGCTTAAAAAAAAGCAGGGCAAAAATCAAGAGTATATCCAGTTCTTCAGACACCACTCTCGAAAAAATCATACAATTGTAGTCTTGTATGTAGATGTCTACATAGATCTTCTCCTTAACCGCTCCAGTAATTTGGTATTGAAGTTCCATAAAGCTGGGGGACTTGTGGGAGACAGATTTAAAAAGAATGGTCAAAATAAAAGCATCAGAGGATAAGATATCCTGACTTTTAGTCTCTAGTGTTGGTTGAGCTCCAAGAACACTGGCTCTTACATTTACCATTATGCAACCCATAATAGTTAGACCCTTTCTGCCTGATATCTTTCAAACCACATGTCCTCAGTTTGTAACACAGACTTTCTGTTATGAATTTATAGACTCCAAGCCTCAAAGACTTGCCTCAAGGACTTGACAAAGCAGATACTGAACAGCTGTTTTCACAGGCTGGAGAGTACGAACTGTGACGAGTAAAGTGACCTTTATGTGTAAAATTGGTGGAGTGCCTCTTTTATGTGTTGATTTACATCCAAGTATATGTTTATTGTAACAGAGAATGTCCCGCATTTTCCAAAAAGAAAACAGTACAGTTAGACAAATTCTCACTACAGGTCCTTGGCTTCCCAGTCTAAATATAGGCTCAAGATAACCTATAAAATGAGCCAAAACAGTGTCTTACCACTATCACTAGTATACAGTAGATAACTCACTGTAATTATATAAGCATGTTATTCAATGGATGGGAAATTTTGCTCTTTGTAGATCCCACTTATGTAAAAACGTTGTTTGTTCCTCCATTTTTCATCAAAATAATAGAATTATTTGGATAATAATAGATTTGCGGTCGTTCAGTCAGTCTGTAGTATTCCTTTTATTCCCAGCTTTAATCATTTTTTTGGTTTCTATCACAGGAAACTGGATTAATATATGCTTGAGTTCATTAAAACTATTTGACTACTAATAACAACATTCATTCACCAATGTGTCATTGACCCAGAGGAGAAAGGATCCTGAGTTCATCCACTTCAGTGAGGTTTCAGGCTTCAATTTAATGCTTTGAAAGAAGTGCCCTTTAACTTGTCTA